TATCTTCAGGAAGACACATCATTTCCTTGCTTTCACTAACCACTGAGCTTGAGCTAAGGAATGCATTATATAAACACAGACACTAGTGACAGAAAATACTAAGTAATTAATTTTACTTTCTACATTTTACAAGGTTCCATTGTAAGTAAGGGGTGAAATTGAGTTTAGAACTGTCAATTTTACAAATTACGATCAAAGTAGTTGCCACAAAGACTGAGACAAACGCTTTGAACTGACAGCAAATCTAAGTTATGGTAGTCATTTTAGATAAGCCAAATGACGTCAAAATCGTCATCAGGAAAAGTTAACTCTTTCCTGGATAGGAAGGTTTAGTTAGGCAAGACTGCCCTCTCTGTGGATCAAATACTTAAATTGCGATCCATAGATTGAACACACCTACGGTTTCCTATTGGCTTATCAACTAATGACGTACAGAGAGTCTGGCCCTTTAAAAGTTAGGACAAAGGGAAGAGAGAAGTTAGTTGGTAGAGAGAGGGAGTTAGTGGAGTTTGGGGGATTCCGATTCGGACATGCGGAGAGAGAGACTCAAGGAACACTCTCTGGGACTAACACTCTACTTTTAAACTCTCTTGGGCACAACTCCTTGACACTTAGAATTTTACTCTGACTTTCTAACCAACACCACTTTTCTCTATCACTCACACACCTCCATACAACCAATCAACTTCCTGGGACTACCTACTCATCTGATGAGAATATCTACATAACTGGTAATTATGCTGGTTTTATTTAATTAATTTAAATTAATTAAAATTTACTAATAGCATGATATATGACTGGATAAATCACGATCAGGTTTCAATATTTAGAATCTTAGTTAACTAAAGAATATATAGTTATAAACATTCCATTCTGCAGGTGGAATTAAGAATAATTATATATTAATGTGATAGTATCACATGTTAGCATACCGCTGTTTTTATCCAGGTGTATTGATTTGCTCTAAAATAAGATATCTTTTTAGGCAAATTAAAATTCGGTTTATATAATCTGGTAGATTATTCTTATTGGATGGTTCCAGGAAATGACTAATGAGCTGGTTTGAATGTTATTTTAATTGAAAATTACATAATAATAGGATATTATATGCCTAGGAGGATCTAGCCAGCATTGAAAGTGTTACTCAGTTGATTTAACTGTTAGCCAAGGTTTTATGGCTTTTTGCTGTGTGAAGCTTTACTTTTTGTCTGTAAAGATACCCTCATAAATCTGATTAAGTGACAGGAGATGCTGTTAGCCATTGGAATGTGTATAGCCATTCCATTGTATTGCATACTTATTGTGAGGAACTGACTCTGCTGGGTTTCGAACCCTGGTTTACATGGTGCTAAACCTCTTCCTTACCAGTACACCAGCCTGCCTTTTGCAAATTTACCTGAGATCTGATACTATTGCTTGTAGAGTCAAGGTTATCATTGACAACTCTCTTCAGCTGTGTCTGGTCAGGTGTCTGGTTCTTGGCCTATAAAAGCCACTTCCTGTCTCTGTACCTTTGCCAGATTATTGTGGTTCCTGTACTCTCTAATCAAGCGTGTTCCTGTTTCTCCTTCCTGTTGCTGAATTTGGACTGTTTTGACTTTGCTGCTTCTCCTTCCCACTGACCTCGGCTTGCCTCACTACGATTATCATCTTTCTGTTCCAGTCTCCCATCTCTGCTTAAGACCAGAAGGCCACTTAAGGCTCAGGGGCTCAACCACCTGGGTAACGAGTGGCTACCTATGGCAGAAAACATTGCTGATCTGGCTATTGGACTCCAAAACTTTGTAACATCAATATCATTACAGAATAATCTGGCCCATTCATGGAGACCGTCGGATCAGATTCTGCATTGGCCCAGCAGGTTGCTTTTAATGCAAGAACTATGCAGACCCAGGCACAGACCATTCAAGTGCTGCAGGATCAGGTAGCTGAACTGTAAAATGAAGTTCGATCATTGCATAGTGAGCTTACCAGCTACAGGGCACATGATGTTGCGGCTGCTGCTACTACTACTGTTACACCTGCACAAGATGCCCGCTTGCCTCTACCAGAAAAATTTGGAGGAGACCGCAAAAAATTTAGGGGTTTCCTAAATCAATTCCGTTTGCATTTCATGATGTTACCTAACCGTTTTCCATCTGAAAGAGAGAAGGTGGGATTTATTTTCTCCCTCTTCAAAGATGAAGCCCTGGCCTGGGGCTCCCCTTTTCTGGAACAGGACAGTCCAGTCTTGGGAAATTTAAAAGACTTTCTTGAGGCCATGTGCCTAGTTTTTGATGATTCCAATCGCTGTGCTACAGCAGAAGCCACTCTCCTTCATTTACCTCAAGGGAGGCGCTCTGTGGCTGAATATGCTGCTGAATTCAGACAGTTGGTTACTGATACTACTTGGAACCAATCAGCCCAGAGGTTCCACTTCAGAAGGGTTCTCTCAGAAGCTATAAAAGATGAGCTAGCTCGTGTTGATCTTCCTGTTGAGTTTGATGCATTTGTGCGGTTGGCTATCCATATTGATCGGAGACTTTCAGAAAGAAGATTGGAAAGACAGGGCTCTTTTAAACCAAGTGCTACTCCTACTTTCTATTCAAGAATTTCTACTCCGACCCCACAAACACCTACAGACTCTGAACCTGAGGCTATGCAGGTAGATCTAATAAGAGGGCCATTATCCAATGAAGAAAAACAGTGGCGACGCACTCACAATTTATGCCTGTATTGTGATAGTGCAGGGCATTATGCCATCAATTGCCCTAACAAGTCTAAAAGAACAATAGCTATGACTGCTGAGGGTGCACAGATTCAACACCAATCCCAGATTTCAGACCAACTGGATTCTGTCATACAACCCTTGTTTTCTCTGGCGCAGGGTGAAGAAGGTATGATGACTCAACATCCTCATTTGGTGGTGCCTATCACTTTGCAATATGGTGATAATAAAATTTCAACTACAGCTATGATAGATTCCAGAGCAGGCGGAAACTTTATGGACATTAAATTTGCAGCAGGAAATAAAATTCAGTCTATCTCTAAATCTTCACCTGTGTTAATGGAAACAGTAGACAGTTCTCCACTTACGTCAGGCCCGGTTACACATGAGACTGTGCCCTTAAAATTGATTCTGGAAGTGAATCACCATGAGTCTATATCTTTCCACCTAATTTCCTCAACACAGTTTCCAGTGATTTTGGGTATACCCTGGCTTGCTCTGCATAACCCACAGATTGATTGGAAGACTAGAACCTTGTCCTTTCCTTCAGAACACTGCTTAATGAATTGTCAGCCCTCTAAGGCGACACCTGTTACCACAACAATTAATGAAATCTAAAAGAAACCCTTGTACCTAGCCACTTCTCATTTAAACAAACACAACAATGCTGGCTTTCAGTGCAAGGGACTTACCAATGTGGCAAGTGTGTGGCTTGTGGATACATCAATAAAGGCTCAAAAGAACTAACAGATTCAACAGACAAAATCATCTGTAAGGTCAAACATTTTTTCAATTGCAATACAAAAGGAGTTATATACCTCCTTAGTTGTGTTTGCGGCCTAAAATATGTTGGCAAGACGATACGCCCCTTCAAAAAGCGAATCATGGAACATGTATACTCCATTAGGAATCTCAGAGAAACTCCTGTGGCAAGACATATTAGAACCAGCCACAATGGAGATCCTAAAGCCATTAAATTTGCAGGCATTGAAAAAGTCAATACAGGCGCTAGGGGAGGAGATCTGGATAGAATCATCTTAAAAAGGGAATCCTTTTGGAGCTACAGATTTAACAGCTTAGCCCCTAACGGTTTAAATGAGGGCTTTACCTTTACACCCTATATTGAAAAATAACACCTACCATAATTAATAATAAGGAGTACTTTAATTTAATTTTATTAAAACTTTTTGTTTCATTTTTCTTATTTTTTACTTGTAGGTTATGAATTCATGTTTATTACATATCCTATCTCTGATATAGAAGTGGAGCCTGTGTAAGCCCCTTTTTCCAGTCTAACTGAGTGTACAACTCTTTACATATTATTATTATATAGCCCATCTGAATCACATATAATTGGACCCTTTTTCTTTATTATGTGGAGCCAATGCAATGTATTACTTTTTCACTATATCCACATTTACTCTTAAAGTTCATTTATGTGACTCTTGAGACCTCTAACATGTTCTCTATAGACTGTGTAACAATAGTAACACCAAGGGTTAACTTGGTTCGTTTCTTTAGGGGCTTCCTACCAATCATAAGGCACCACGTTCATAGGGGGCGTGGCCAATTCGGATGCTGTTTGGACGCGAATGGTTTAACCACGCCCCCCTGCAGTGATTGGCTATGTGCAGCTTTAAATTGTTACCGGAGAGCTGCGTCCGGTTGCCTTGCCTCAGACGAAGGCGTGTTAGCAGCGCTGAAACATATGTTAGGTAGCTCTAGGCGTTATTAGACAGGCAGTTAGAGTCTCCAGATCGCTCTCCCCACTTCGATATCTGATCGGACTAGTTCTACACAAGCGCTAGATGTGTTTTCAGTGGGGGGTGCTATCAGGACTTTGGAGCTGATTCTAAGAGGG